GGGGGGCAGAAATGCCAGGGCAGGGACAGGAAACAAAACAGCTTGCAACACAGAGCTTCTGTCTCTGCTCCTTTGCCAGTGCTGACGGCGTCCCATTCCTCATGCATGATGAGGAACTCACCAGGACCACCAACGTGCAGGCTGTATTCCCTGAGAGGGCTGCCCTGAACAGCACTGCCTTCAACTGGACAGACCTCCAGCAGCTGGATGCTGGCAGCTGGTTCCTGGAGGTCAGGATGCCCCTGGGGTGGCTGGTCAGGGATGGGTGCATTTGTGGGTGAAGCACGAGCCCTGCCCTGGGGAAGGTTCCCTCTGCAGCACTGGTCCTGGCAGACACCTGGACAGGGTGCAGAAGCACTTCTATGCCTGCCCGAATCCCTTGGGTGTGGTTATGCCCCAAGCTGGGGTTTGTTCTCACTGCTCAGCTGAGTCATGAAGGAGGCTGATTTGAGGGGAGATGTCTCATGCATTTACTCTGAACTGCACAGCCTGCCTGGGCTTGGAGGCAGCTGTGGCAGGCTCTTCCCAAAAGGTGACTAACCAATTGCTGAGCTGCTCTGAATGCCCACAGGTGTTGGGGCTGCTTGAACTGTGCTGTTAGTGGGGAGAAGGGTAAAGGTGTCCCATGGATGTGCAGGGGAAGGATCTCTGTGCCTGTCTGCACTGGAGAGCATGTGGAGAGGCCAGTGTAGGAAACTGAGAGCCAGAGATGTGCACCAGTTTGGGAGGTGGAAGCTTACAGGGGTCTGCCTATGATGACTAACTCCCACCCTTGCAGCGGAGGCCGTTTCCCACTGTGCAGAGTCTTTCTGCTGGCGATCGCTACAACGCAGCTAAACAGAGGATCCCATCCTTGGGACAGGCGCTAGAGGCAGCGAAGCAGAGCAATATCTCCATCATGTTTGACCTCCGGCCTGAGAACCACAGTAACTACCAGAGCTTCGTCAATGCCACCCTGGAAGTGATCTTGCTGTCAGGCATCCCACTACAGCAGGTGAGCTGGCCACCGCCCCACCACTGCCAGGCCCTGCCACCCCATATACCACATCTCCATATGCGATCCCTGCTGGGGAACCCTGTCCAGGTGTGGGATTCTCTAGCTGGGAGAAGTTGCCAATAATTAAGGGTTAATGCCTACAGCTTCAGACCCTTCTAAATACTCTGGTTCCGAAGCACTGGCCACTCTGGTGCGTAAACAGTGATTCAGTCTAGGGAGGGGACCTGCAAGAGCAGGAAAATAATGCTCAGGCATTTACCTCCCAGCACTGTGCCACACCTCTCCCTGCAGCTTTTGGACTCTTGCTGTGTTGCCTTTGCACTTCATCCAACCTCTGCAGCACAGGACACGTGCTGCCCTGAGGGGATGAATTAGCACCCAAATCGCTTTCCATTCTTGGCTTTTTGGGAATGCAGAGCAGGAGGGGACACAACAAAGACTTGTGCTGTAGCACTGATCCAAGGTGCATTCTTGCTGCAGAGTTTGGGGCCAAAAGCATGCACGGCTTGATCCATTCAAGGACCCAGAAAGGACATAACTGCTGCAGCTTTCTTAGGGTGGAACTGCTTTCTCCCCTGAGTGGGGTCTGTTGTGCTTACTTCTTGGCTAGCACAAGCTCTTAGGAGACTGTGCTGGCTGAGATCCTCATGGAGGAGCTGAGCATGGAGGGGGGCAGGAAGCAGCTGTCTGAGCAGGCCATGTGTGCCTGGACCTGCAAGGAAATATTGGAAGAGAGCAAGCTCTCTGGAGCACCTCTCCTCTGCATGTGCTCTCTGGCTTTTGCCTAGGTCCTCTGGTTGCCAGATGGGTTTAGGGAACAGGTCAAACAGCAAGCCCCAGGCGTTCAGCAAGTTTATGGCCGGAAGAGACTCCAGAATGAGAAGGAGCCACTGCTGCATGTCAATCTGCCCTACCAGGACATGAGCCCTGAGGAGATCAGGTGAGAGCCCTGTGCCTAGGAGTCTGGGAGCTGTGGGGCCTGGACACTGTACCAGCTCTGTCCCAGGGGCCAAGAGAGGCAAGGGCTGGCTGAGGCTGAGTGCTGCAGCACTGCTGGGAAAGGCAGGGTGTGCACTACAGCCTTGCGGACAAGCACGCCTTGTCAGGCAGGGCTGGTGCAGGGGATGGATGGAGCCAGCGGCAGTCCTCTGCCTTGCCAGCAAATCTGCCCTGGGTCTGGCTCTCCAGACAGTTGCTCCATGTGGCTGCAAATGCTGGATCACATCCCAGACATACAGTCCTCTCTGGCTGTACCCGAGTGTGCCGGCACCCTGCTGTCTGCTGCTCTGACCACGGCTGTCCCTATGCAGGCAGTACCGCCAGGACAACATCTCTGTCAACTTGTATGTGGTGAACCAGCCCTGGCTCTTCTCTGTGCTGTGGTGCTCTGGGGTGAGCTCTGTCACCACCAATGCCTGCCAGGTGCTAAAGGCGATGAAACACCCCATCTGGCTGCTCGTAAGTGACCCTTCCATCCTTCATCCTGCCCCACAGCCCTGTGCCCCAGGCACTTGTGGGTCCCTTTCTGCAGCAGCCCTGGGCAGCCAGCTGCCTGGAAGGGAGGGCAGAAGGGACCGCTGGCGCAGAAGGGACTGCTGGCACAGCAGGCTGGCCTGCGCTAGCAGCACACCACCCCTGGCTGGTGTTCATGGCTTGTCCTGTTGCCTTGCAGCCCAGCAGCACGTACCTCATGATCTGGATTGTTGTAGACTGCACTTCCTTCCTTGCCATCCTCTGGGCCTTCTTCTTGCTGAAGTACGTTTGATCCCTTTCCCCCTCCTGGGTCAGGTCTGTTGGGGGAGGCTGTAGTGTGCTCTGGTGCCCAGTACATACCCAAACCCAGTCATATCTGCTGCTGCCCCTGTCTGGACTCTGGTCCTGGGGGGTCCTCTCCTGTCTGGCTAAGTGAGACAGCAGTGTGGGGAGGCAGCTTGTGTCATTGGGCTGCAGCTAAAACTCTGGCCTGACCCTTCCTTGAGCTGCTGGATGCCTTAGTTCACCCTTACTAGCTTGCTCTGCACCCCAGGGCCTGGGGCCTGCTCCTTTACCACTGCTGCAGGCACTGAGAGCAGATCCCTGTGGGACTGTGTGTCCTGAGGGGCACTACAGTCTACAGCTGGGAGCTTGGGGGAGGGATGGGGCAGGCCAGACTGACGTGCTAACATTGATCCTATTCCATCTCCTAGGAAATGCTCCCAGAGAAGACGGCCAGTGGGTGAGTGCACACGCATGTGAGCTCCCCTCCCTTGGAGTCGGGCTGTGTCTGTGGGGCTGTCCCTGGCAGACAGACAGCTTTCTCCAGCAGAACATGACAGAGCAGTTTGGGATGGCTGGGGGAGGGAAGGGAATCCCAGCCCAGGGAGTTCCTGTCCTGCCCTCAGCAAACAGCCCTGTGGGACAGAGCTGGGGAATCCTACAGTCCCTAAGTCTCCTCAAACCTGATTTTCAGGCCGCTCTGCCTGTCGCTGCGGGATGGTGACTGCCTGCGATGATTGTTGTTTCTCTCTGTCTCCCCAGAGTCCGAGACAGACGTGCTGCTCACAAAGATCAACAGCTTGATGCAAGAGTGACCCCTTGGGCCTGCATCAGCCATGGGGAAGGGCAGCCAGAGCCTTGCACAGCTCAAGCGGGGAGCATTCCTCAGGCCAGCTTCGAGGCTCCTTTCCCTTGCAGACTCCCCATCCCCCATAGCCTTCCTGACTCCTTGCATGGTGCACAACTGCCCTCAGCTGAAAAGACCTGGAACTGGATTCCCAGTCCCCACTGGCAGCCAGGAACCAGAGCCTTTGCAGGGGTTTCCCGAGGCTGGCTTGTGCCTGGGGGCTGAGTAAATTACCCAGCAGTGCTGGAGCTAAGACCTCTGCCCTGGGGTTTGGAGACTAGTGGGTGTTTGAGTTGCTGTTTGGTGCAGGGGCAGGGCAGACTCTGCCTGTCTGCAGCTAGTGATGGGAAACCTTGTTTAAAGTGCTGCTGCCCTGCCACATGGCGTGAGGAATAGGAGGGGGGGGGGGGTGTTCCCCAAGATGGAGGGGGAGCTGAGCTCCTCCCACCCCCATGCTGGGTACCAGTCCTACCCCTGCTGCTGCTGGCTTCATGCTTGTGGGCCAGGGTGCTGGCGCCCCATGCAGCAGTTAGCGCCTGTTGCTTGG